TCGCGCGTATACAGCGTTTGGCGGCGTAGTCCAGCGGCTGCGGGCCGTTCCAGTACTGCAGCGGGTAGCCACACTTGAGGGGCGTGTAGGCGTTGTTGTTGTTGTAGGGCTGAGACGAGGACAGCGACTCTGTGCTGTGGAACTGCACCGAGGAACTAAGGGTTCCCATGGTGCTCTTCTCTGACACGTTCACTCCGGAGTCTTTACTCAAATCCGGCATGGAGAACCTGGACAAGTTCTCCTGGCGCTTACTGACCCCGTCCAGAGAGTTACCTGTGGAGATCAACACGTGGTGTGACATGTTCACATTAGTCAGTCCATCAAATGTTGTGTCAACAGTTTGATCAACCTACTGTACCTGTAGCAGCGGGGACGGTTATGCTGTCCATGGATCCGTGAGGAGTCTGTTCTACCGGCGTGAGCGGCTCGTTGAAGCTCATGGTGGTGATGGGGTTCCTCCTGGTCAGTGGAGGTCTGCCGTTCCTTTGAAACCCATGAAGGCTGATGCTCCTTTTGTCCGAGATGCCCTGGTTCTGGCTCGACATCTCGTTGAAGCTCATCTGAGTACGAAGCTTATTAGGTCTGAACCCGTCCTGGCTGTGGTGGATCCAGTTGTCGTTAAAAGAATGGCCCCTCAGAGCAGCCATGGGCGTCCGCTTGGGATTGCCTTGTTCCTTGTCCCAGGAACCCGGTCTGTTTCCTTGGTTAACGGGGTTCTGGGGGGGAGGGTGAGCGTTGGTATTGGGTCCAAAGCCTTGTCTTAGGTTACACTGGCCCAGCATATGGACGGATGTGGGGGCGGGGGAGGGGTCATGCTGCGGCCCATCAAAGCTCGCAGGCACATAAGGCTCATCTCTGCTCATCCACACCTGGTTAAGGCTCGGGGCGCGACTGGGCGTGCGACTGGGCGTGCGATTGGGCGTCCTGCTGGGCGTCTGGCTGGATGAAAGGCTGAGGCGGTCCATCGGCACGGACAGTGGGTCGATCTCTACCGATAGTCGATCGGGCTTGGGGAGAGGTGCTGGTTGGCGGACTTCGGCGTTGGGTCGCCCCCGGTCTGCGTTCCCTCGTCTCTTCT